GAAATTCTACTAAAGCCTTAAAACAAACATGGTAATTACTAATGTTAAAATGCTACAAGTAACACCTGGCAAGCATAAAACATGCTTCAGGGTTGAAAAAAAAACAAAAAAACATTTGTATTGGACTGCAGTTGAAACATTTCACAGCACAAATGTGAAAGAATGAAACCACTGCCCCATCAGGCCCATCTGGCAAAATATCAAAAAGCACAACTGAAACGGGCAAAGCGGCCGTCACATATTGAAGCATCAAACAACAGGCTGTTTGACACTTTCCTGCAGGGATTGAGGGGATGTGTTTGATGAAGGAAATCCCTTCACTTTTGAATTGATTCAGTGATAATTAACATCATTTTTACTGGAGCAAAGGAGTGACTGGAGAGGGGTGTTATCGAACTGATTACAAATTATACTGTATATGATCCCCATTGGTTAACATCTTGATCCCCATTGGTTAACATCTTAGGCAGCCATAAGAAAAAAAAACAAAAAAAACTGCAGTTGAGATTCCAAGACAACTTAGAGCACTTTGCTCAACTCTGGTTGTTTTAACTGTATAAATACAATAAAATACATATAAATAGGCCTGTTGCGATATGCGATAAATCAATTAATTGCATGATAAATAAAATGAGCTCGGAGGGTAATTTTTGTCGGTTTGGCGCGATAACTTTCCTGATTGTATGAATGCTTTGTTGTTTTCCTCGGTCTCCTCCGCTCTATCCGAAGAGACGTGGGCTCACCACTCTATTACCCATTATATCATGCTGCATATTACTAGATATGTACATAATAGATTATTAGATGAATAGAATCAATGTATTCCTAAGGAAATGCGACAGGTATTCTAGTGGGTATTTTAAGTTTTTTAGCTTGGCATACCTATTCTGAGCTTTAGAAAGGTCTTTTGATTTAGTCTGTGACAATTTGATTAGGTAAGCTCTACTTTTACTGCCCTGTAAGTAACAGAACGTCAAAAGGAATTTGTTCTGACCAAAGTGAGAACAAGTTGACCCGAACAAGCAGTCCTAGTTTGCTAATGACGTACTAGGCCAGTGAAACATACATATACAGATTAAGAGACACTGTTTCTCTCCCTCTACTCTTTTTAAGCATAACACTGAACAATAGCTTTAGTCAGTTACAACTAAGTCTGGAGTTAGATCTGCTGATCATAATGTGTGTGATACTTTCTATATCAAATTAACAAATTCCAAGTTTCAAAAATATGCACTTGCTGTTTGATACTAAATAATGATATAATATTCAGCTTCTCATGAGTTATGGTATGTTCACATCTAGTGGTATTACTAAAGGTTTTTTTTGTATTATCATCTATTACCATCAAGTTTCTCTGGCATATTTGATAAGGATCCTTTTAAACTGTGTTGCACTGTAGAATCAACAAGACTATTTCAGGGCAAGAAAATTACTTCCTATCACTGTGTTCTGCAGGTTGTCAACAGGAATGACAGAGCCATATTCCCAGTATGCTGTATGTTCAACATGTTTTCTTCTGAGACTTGCATTCACTATACAAAACTAGATCCACTCGGTGCTATCCTCAGGGGCTGTGTGTGTTGTTCCCTCACCATACTTTAGCTGACAAAGAGGGATGCCTTGAAGATTTTTTGCCTGTCCAAAAACAAAGAGACCGAAGACAGAGAGCACAAAACCCATTTTCCCCATTTTCTCTGGGCAATTACACAGATAAAGCTTGGAAAATTGGTTTTTTTTCTTTGAAATGCAGGCAGAAATGGTGTTAAAACAGAGCAAAGAGATTGTGAGAAATGGCTTATTGTTGCTATTTCTCCTGTGTTTGATTTGCAAAGCTTTGTGTGTGACTGCTGAACAGTCAGAAAAGCTTGCAAAGAATACTCTGTATGTTTATGTCTGTGTGTATGCAAATGTAAGACTAATTTTGCATATCATGTTTGGTGGAATATATGTTTATGCATTTGTCAAGAGTATTTGTTTACCCACACACATGTTTAGGTCAGGTGCTTTGGTCTAGTGTTTATGGCACTATAGTGTTTGAGCTGTGTATGATATTCTGTCAAGGGAATAGTCACAGCAGAACTACAGAGCAAGGTTTGAATGCCCAATTAGACAAGGGAATTGAGGATAGAGACATCTTCTCCCAAATAAAGTCCTCTGAAGCAAGATGTACAACTATTATTCTTCCCACTAGCACTCAGCCTCAGCCTCCATCCCCTGCAGGCAAGAGTTGTTCAGATAAAGAAAAAGGTCCCCAGAAAATGAACAAGTTTCCAAACAGCAGCTCACAGATTAATAACACAGATGGAGGGTTACTCCCCAGCCATGTATACTGTGTTGATTGGGCACTGAAAAGGCAAAACGGCTGCCTTCTGTTTCATTTCTGTGACAAATCATTCAATAGGGTGTCTGTAATGTTGAATATGCAAATGGAGCCATTGTTGCTGCATGGCTCTGTGGTGGACAGCTGAGGGATCTTGTATGCACAAGCTTGGTTGGTGGTGTTTTATAAAAAGGAGGTACAATTGTCTATTAATCACTCAAGCTGAGTGAGGGAATGCTAACACCAGTTGTATTGCTTGGAGAACACTGCTTGTCCCAGTAATGGGAAGACAGATTATGTTTACATTTAGTTAACAATAATGACAGCTGAGGGTGCGCATATCTTCTGCTTGGGGGTTGGATATGAAACTCTTCAGCTTGATTAGAAAGGACAAAGTGTAACATGATTGCATATGGTGGGAGAGGTTGAAGACGGGGATGATGTGGGATAATGGTCCTGGCTAAGAAGCAAACTCAACAGTAACTTGGTCCAGCACCGGCTGGATAGTGGCACACTCCCTTAAAAAACTCATTGACTGTCCCTTAATGATTCTCCTGTCTAATCTCAGAGTTGATTGACAGCAGTCTTTGCCATAGCCTAGACACAAGCAATAAATCAAAAACAAAACCCTGCTAATTACAGACATCAATTACTTCACTTTACTGTAAGAGATAGCCAGAGTAGATATGCTGCAAAGAGTGCATGGATGCACAGGAGACTTGTTTTATCTATCAATCACACACAATGTGTAATGAATACATATTACGCTGCAGCTTGCTAGACTCAAAAACCTCGAAAGCGGGCATTCATTATATCTAGTAATTACTGATTCCTCTATTGAGTCGCAGTCTTATGAAATGAGCACACAAATGATGTGACAATTCCATTCCTCTTTCAAAGCATATGTGACAATAACGTAATTAGCCATGTGCATGATGCACTTTATTTGCATTTCACCATGAAATTTAGAGACCTGGCTGCTAATTACCTCTATCACTGCTAAAACCACTGTATCTAATTTTACACTCTTCATTCTCTGTGTCTCCGGCTTATGAAAGCTTGTTCTGCTCTATACCCTGGACCATAACCCAGTGTAAGGACATTGGCATAGTGCCATTCCTCTGCACCCACAACACTCTTATGATTATCCTTTTTAATTGCATTATGCTTACCCCAAAGGACAAAACTGAAAAAAGGAGTAAGTCCGTCAATAAATCACGTCTTCCCAAAAAAGCTTGGGCTCGCCTTTTGATCTTTTGACTCCTCGCAGCCTTCAGATGCCCCAGGGGCTCACCCTGACTTCTGATGTGTCTTACACAACAACCCGCAGTCCCCTCAAGAACACTCCAAACTCTGGGACACGATACAGGCAAAATCAAAGTGAATCATCTTAATATAGGTACAGACAGGCACTTGAAAGAGTTTAGCACTGGTGATGCTACCCTCTGTCCTTTGTTGTCCACTGTCAACATCTGAGTACATTTTTTCCAAGTAAGCATCTTTCTCCCCCTCTTTCTCTTTCCTTTTGACTCTCTACTTTTATTTCCATGCTGTCACTCTTTCGCTCCACAGGCAGCCACTCTCAAGCATCCAAATAACACATCAGAAAACCTGACTTCTGAGGTCTAAAGCCTACAATTACCTGAGCTTCCAGTCCCAGTCTCCCAGCAGACCAGAGATACCTATTCACACTTAAGTGCCTTGTAACCATGGCTATTATTTCAAGATGATACACGAGGGCAGGGTATTTTAAAGTCAAAGAAGTAAAGGTGTTTCCATCAAAAAATAGTCATTGCATTGCGGGTAAAAGTCAAGTGTGCCCAATGTGACTGTTTTTTTTCCAGTCAGATGGGTAGCTTGGTGGGAACAAGCGAGTGAAAATTAAAAAAAAAGAGCAAAGCACAGAAGGATGAAGTGATAAGCTGTTATTGTTTTTGGTATGATTCTTTTTTCATCTTGGTCGGCGATGTTGGATTTAGGTCATATCAGGGTACCAATTGGTAAAGGATATTGCTCTGTTATTGCCCTGTTCCTGTAAAGCCAACATCTGCTGAAAGAAGGGGGTATCATCTTTCAAGGTGAAGAGGATAGGCTAGCACAGATGCCGCCAGGCTTTTGTTAAGTTTTATATCACCCCCTGTCCACTCTTGTTTGGCAAGCACATTTACACTTGGCAGCATCATTTAGTTTTCTCTGTTTATCCTGGGCCCTTGCACTGAAAGGTCCAAAATTTCAGCAAAAACAAACAAACACAATCACTGTGCACATGTTAGAGCAAACACATGCAAAAGCTTGTAAGCCTTGGATTTTCTGAGTTATACATGGAGACAAATGAATGTTTGTATAATAATGCCATGGTAGAATTGTGCTCTGTGGTTTTATAGCAAAGACAATTATAATCGTTTGTTGTGACAATTTTATTTTTGCCAGTTATTTAAGATCAAGCGTTTTCAATATGTGTTTTACAAACATTACACGAACAAAAAAGAACCTATTCTAAAATCCACCGTGATCCTGAAAGTGGGACTAATTTAGATGGATTTGAGCTGGCATATGGTCATGGCCATCTTCCAACGACACTTAAAGGACAGACGAAGGATGACACCGGAATTAGTTTCCTGTCAGTGGTAATGTTTTCCGGAAGAATCTATCCCAGAGAGCTGGACGGCCTGCTGCTTACCTTTGAGGTCCAGGTTGCGGGCTCCATTGGAGTGCTGCGTAACGGTGCGTGAGTCGATCTTGAGCGTGTGTACATTGTTGGCATCCCGGGACACCACCACGTTGTGCCACTGGTTGTCATTAAGTGGCTTGTCTGAGTTGCCCTTCATCAGTGACGGCCCGTTGCCAAGATCAAAGACGTAGTGGACATACCTGTGAAGAAAGATAGAAAGCTATCAAAATCTAAATCACTGTGTTTTCACTCAAAACACTTGGTCAGAAAATGGGGACAATCATGGCAGTGCTGATTTAGCTTCACTTTAGAAACTGTATTTTCTCATCATAACGTGTTGTCTTTCAGAGACACACTGATGACACATTCGCATTCAACAACACTTAACCTCCAATTGTCATGATAAAGTGATTTGATGGGATAACATTCCGCTCTCCTACTTTGACTCTGATGTCTCCATCCTGTATTTTCATATTTTTGTGAAAAAATTAGATTGCCAGTTCATATGGCAGTACACGAGGCTTGGGATTTGTTTTTGGTTTACTCACTGGTTTGACATGTAAATATAGAAACCTGCTTTTGTCTAAAAGCCCCTGTTTGCCCAAAGGCAGACAAGGTGGCACAGTTCCCTCTTTCACACAAATATGGCTGTCTTTTGTGTTTTAGGTTAAGGCTATTGTCGCTGCTTCATTCAAGGTGTGTTTTTTTCTTTTCTTTTTTTCAACCTCAATTCCAGTTCCCTTATGTAGCCTCTTGTCTTTGTGTGGCAGAGGCGGCTCAGGCTTTTGTGTTGTAACAGTGCTGAATATAGAGCACAAGAGGAAGAGAGATACACAAGCAAAAGCCTCTTTTCGATACTCTAATTATGAACAGCTTTTAGGGGGATACAATTCACAATTTGTACCAGTTTATTTCTGGTTTGTGCTAGCTTCTTCAGGCTTTTATAGAATAATCGCCAAATACTTTGCCGGTCAGAGAAATGCATTATTCTCACAATTATGCATTAACAGTTAATGGATTGTGAAATAAATAACCAAAAGACATGTTTTCAAGAAAAAGAGACAAGGATATTTCTCCGCTTTCTGTTTCCCAACCAGTAAGTACCAGCAGTCTGTGGAGCTTTCAGCTGAGCTTTTAAGACGACAGACTTTGATTACTCATCAACATACACTAAAGTCACTTTCATCCAGCCAACCCTGATTTATAGCAGCATTAAATGACTCACTGTTCTGCGTTAACTCTGAGAAAAAAAGCTATGTTTCAGTTTATATTTAGTTGTTTTAAATGATAGTTCAGGACTCCTTCCTTGATTAGTGTGGTGATCAATTGACAATTTACTCCTCACTATATTTCACATGGTGTGCAACTGGGTTAGATTTTGAAGGAAATGGGCTGTATTGCTTTGCAAAGTGAGATTGCTTCACAGCACAGAACAAAGGATGATGCTTTCAGCACCAACAGAGTTACGGCTTTCATGTTTTTCTGTCAATGGCATTTTGAAGAAGAAGTAAAAGCCCGACTGAGAAATGACTGAAAATGTATTTATTGTCATCATTAAAGCCAAACACAAAGGTAATTGGGGGAAAGTAGGGGCATTTTGTTCAGTAGGCAAGACTTTTTTGACAAAAAAACATAAAATGCTACACTTAGAATCTCTTTTATCTTGTCATCAAATAATTGAAATTACATGGGACTCACCCCTTCACCAGTTCCACAACAATAAAGTCGCTACCGTCTCCAGAGTTGAAGAGCATCAGGCCATCAGGCGTGGTGGTTTTGAACTGAAAGAAGAGGTGCATGGAGGCATAAGCTTGTAACGTGGCTAAAGCTAAGTAGCTGCCTTTCGTTCGAAATGTCACCGGATCTGCAATGATGTGGCGCATGCCAAAGCGGGCATTCAGTTCACAGTACGAGATGTCCCCATTTTTGCACTGGTCTAGATAGGGAACCCCATTGAAGGTCAGGCCCTGGAGATGGCCAATGAAGTTTGAGGGCACCACAGATGTGAAGCGGCGTTCAGTCATGATGCCTGTCTCGATGTTGTGGAACTCGAGACGTGTGTGGGCACCAGTCATCTGGCCTGAAATGGTGGATACAGGGAAAACATCATTAACTCAGAACACAAATGGTGATTCATCAACTGCAATGCTCTGCATTTGGCAATATAAAGTATCATGGGAAAATGTTTAAGAGTATTTTACATTATAACATTGTAAAAGGATTGTAATCATTCCAAGAAGACAAATTTAAAACAAAATAAGTTAAACTAGTTATGTTTTGGCATATTTTTTATGCTTGTTAGATCTTAAAATTGATTTTAGTAGCTTGACATAATGTGTGTTCAGTATATGGTTCTATTGTTTAGCTTCACAAAGGCTGAGCCTATTTTTCTAACCTGCTGTGAAAGAAATTATACAAGCATAATTTTGCAGAAAATCTGTTGTTACTGCTCTACATGCCACAATTTATATTGCGTTTACTGGGAGATGTGGAGTAATGAACTTGGCAAGCTGCCGATTAAAATGCCTTCCATGCTGAAGCCTGGCCGGCCCTGCAAGGACTCGCAGGGCACTCCCTCCCTTTTCTTTCCCATGAACCAGTTTGTGAACCAGTCAGAAGAAGGTCATTCTTTGCTTTTGGCCCCGGTGTGCCCACTCTCTTTCCTTCATCTAGCTCACACCCTTTTCTCACCTCTTCCTTCATCCCTATGCCCTACCATCCTTTCGCCTGAGGCCACAATACTGCGAGTGCCCATGACTCCACCTCATCTCTTGACCTTTCATCCTTCTCGTGCTATTTTCTTAATACAGTACTTGGCAGAACCTGTACCTCCGTATTTTGTACACGGCTGCTCACTCACAGTCGGTAAGTACACAGATATTAAAACCACTTCCTCCTCCTCTTTTGTGCTCAGTTTAAATTGCATATAAAATCATTTCAGCTATTTACAGATTTGCTGGGGTTGCTACTAGCTTGTTTTCCAGCCTTTTAAATGAAACATACTGTAAGTCAGTGTGGGTAAGATTCTGACCAAAGTTTTGTAGTTTTACCTATACATAAAGAAAAAAAGAAAAAAAGAATTTTAGCAATATTATGACATTTGCCAATATTTTTTTTTTTGCTTTGTTACCACTCAGATATAAATATCTAATTAATAATAAATTAACAAACCATATGCCACCTCCATGTCTTCATAATCAAAAATAGTCACCTTCCACTTTCAAATGAGTCATTTTAAAAGCAAATGGCAAAACAGTTGTCTAACTGTGGGTGGGTGGATGTGCTAATAAATGTGAATTTGTGACAATATTTTCACAACTCACTATGGTCTCATTTATTGCCTCTGACCCCAAATTAACCCCTTTGTGTATCGAACACAACTGACCTTCCACTGTGACATTATCCACAGACAGCTGCAGGCTCTTGCCTCTTCGCACCACCTTCACAGTGTGCCACTCATTGTCGTTCAGCTTCTGCCCCGCGAACAGCGTCTCAGGTCCTTTGCCTGTAGTAGGGGGGGGGGAATTCAAATCACAAATAGCACAGCGGGAATGCTGTGTGCGCCTACTCACGCACCCACACGTACACACACAGATCATACACAGTAGGTGACAGTGCTAGTGGAGAAAACCTGCATGTTTGAGAAACACATTCACACTATGGATTCTCCCAGTATACTGGAAATGAAAGAACTCAAATATCCGGCCTGACAGACCGTAAAATCGAGTGTCTTCTCAAAGGCTCACAGTGTTGCAGCAGGATGTCATCAAAGACAGTAGGACAAATAAGTCGTAACCAGCTGAGGGAGTAGATTAGAACAGGCAGCCAACGACGACTGGATAAGCTGTGTTACAAACATTATATGAAGTTTTGTTCTGCTTTCACAGAGCATTTCATGTCTCAGTTTAGCACATAGAGAACTCTCCTGATTGGGGGGGGGGGGACCAGAAGGTTTAACTGCTGATCCCCCAAACTGCTCTCCTCCCTAATTACTCCTTCCACTTCTCTACTCCCAATTCCCTTCTCCTCTCCTCACCTCTCTTGCTGTTGCCACTGAAAGAGACAGTTTGATGCAACAGCATATGGGGTTGCAGGAAATGCTTATTACAGCCATATTTACATAAGCGTCTTTTCAAAGTGGGGAACAGCCTATTTATAGCCTGCCAATGACAGAGCCTTATTACATCAACATTGGAACAAATTGTTGGCGTTAGGGAGTGACAGCGGGAGAAACAGTGTGGATTTTGATTAAGACAGCAGTCATGAATCCCTCTTTCAATGCATCATGCCCAGCTGATGTGATTCATGGTTAAAGTCAAGGTGGTGACTGGTGCTGGTTAACAGATGTGTCGAAGTTTAAGGATTCAAAATAGACATATTTATGGAAGGAAATCATCCCTCAGATGGCTTCAGAAGCTGAATTGGGTCCACCAGTAGTAGGTGCGCACAGTGTCATGGCATTGAGGTTAAGGTAATCAGTGATAAGAGGGATGAAGGTGGATTCTGTAAACAACAATATAATGAGGGCAGACTTCCACCTCGTTGGGCAGACTGAAATAGCAGAATGCCGGAGGAGACCAGTCACTTCCATTAAGCCACCTTCTGTACTCTCCATGCTTTTAGGCAGCGCTGGAGTGGAGCAGCCATTGTGGCTGGTAAATAAAGAAACTGTGACATCAAAAGACACTGCCTTTCTTCCACCATTAAAACTGATGATTTGTTTATTACAGATCTAACATTACAAATCCCACAATCTCTACTTTCAGGGACAATGGGTCTTTTCTGACTGGTTGGCTGGCTGGCTGGAGCTTGAGTGTATTATACCAGCTCGAGTGGATGATATAGTACAGCCTGACGAAATATGATTGTCCCCTTCCCAGTTGTGTGTGAAATTATTTAGTCTAGAGGAAAAAAGGTCCCATCAATTGATGGCCCCGCCTAGCAAGAACACGCACATGGCCCATTGGAGAATTGTTTTCCCATTTACTCCTGTTACTTTTTTATTATATTGTTGTTTTTTTTTCATGGGCTTTTTGTCTTCAGCCACATGAAATTGGATAGAGAGACTTTTGATCACACCATGTGTGAAGTAAATATAAAGGGAAAGGCTGCTATACTGCTGCAAAGACTGGGTGAAAGTTGCCAGCAGATAAGTTAAAGCTGATACAAAGATAGATAGGAGGATAGAAGGAAAATATGAAAACGGATGAAGATGAAAAAAAGAAGAGTAAAAAGAACCCCAGAAAAGAACTAAAAGCTGAGAAACAGAGCAGCAGTGGAGTTGGCTGGCTGATGTAAGATCGTAAAAGTTAGAAGAGTGCAGCACAAATGAATGGGAATGGCAGCCCTTTAGAATAGGGTCCATGTAATATTTATTTGGCTTGGCTGCTACAGGCCACAAGAGAGCAAGGGCCACTGCTGCACACATAGCAAGAGCCATTTGGCCATAATACCACTAACAATGGGGGGCAAAAGATATATATGCTGCTCTGGCCGGGCAAGCAAAGCAACAAAAAGCTGTGGGCAGATGGTGGTAAAAGTGCAGCGAGGGACCTATTATATTGTAGGGGCAAAGTGCGACGCTCAGTAACAATGCTTAAGGAAAAACACAGGAAAGTTTGGGAAGTTCACTGTCAGACTTTTCTCTGGATGATGTTTGAGTGGGTCAAAGGTTGAAGAAAGGCTTGTTGAGGCCACAAGTATGATTCAAACTTTAACTTACAGAATTCTGCATTGTGTTGATGCAGAGATCATAATGTCTCCAGTGCTGCAATAACTCAAAACCACACACTGATGAAGCACATGGTGTTAGGCTTAGTGTGTATTGCTGACAGTGAAGTGAGGCACTTCACTGCAAAGGTAACATCACAAACAAGAGAGCTGTGAACGAGCCATCCCAGGGTTAAACGAGCTGCTAAGCCTTTAATGCAGCCACTGGCAGAGACAAGTACTCATTGCTAGAAAAACAAAAGGGGACGCAGGGCTCATTAATAAAAGAGCTGGCGATTATTAAAATGCAATTAATTCTCATCCTGCCACTTGTGCCCTCTCACTTTGTCTTGGAGATCTGCAGGGCAGAGGGCTGTGATCACATAAGCAGAAGCTTCCCCTCTCTTCATCTCACCATCTCTTTTGTTCCCACCCCCCTCTCAGCCTGTCACTTTTCCTTGCACTTTTATAAATGTGTCACATGGGAGCTGAAGAGGTGTCAAGGAGATTTCTTAACTAGTATAAAAATAGCCAGGATTGCGGATTATTTTTTATTGACTGTGTCTGCTCACCATAAATGAGAGGTGTGATGTTTGCGGGCTGTTGCATAATTAGCAGTAGTCATCCATCATTGGTCGCTGTGTTCTCTCTGTAAACAACCTTGATTAATGCAATCGGATCAATGGAACACAAGCCGCCAGCTAATGGCTGCAGGTTGTTGCCATCAGTCTCTATTCAGGCTGTGTGGTTGCTACTGCAGCGGTGAGTACTTGAACACAGTTGTATAATTATTATGTCTAAACCCTAATCAAAACAACTTCAGAGAGTGAAGCTGATCATCAGTCTACAGTGGGCAATGATGACAACATTTCTATCGTGGCAATCAGGAAATGAAAGATGATAAATGTTTGTTTTCTCTGACTGCAGAGAAGTGGCACAGAGATCAAGATGTCTCTCAGACCACTGATAAAAATGTGTGCCCTCTCAGAAGTCTGAGGTGTTTAAAATAGAAAGAGCATCTGAAGAGCTGAATATGTTGCCAAGTAAAATGAAGCCCCATCATAAAGAGAAAATGATTCAACACCACTATGAGGCATATTTCATTTTGTTTCTGTTGCATTCTGCATGAAACCAGAGCACTGCGTGGTCCAGTAACCCCGTCACCCCCAGTCACTCGGAATCATCCCCGACTGATGCTGGCCACACAGCAAACCCAGAAAGCTTTCCCTTCACATGGTTGTTAGCTAATGAGTGCGCTGAAGTCGGATGCTGGCCAGAGGGCTCCAAGCCGGCCAAAGAGGAACGATCACTACTAGCCATTGTAATGTCTATAACAACAGCGCCACAGAATGACAGGGCCACAGGCAAGTCCCTTGTAAGTCCACTGCTGGTGCAACAGTAGATGACAACAGAACCAACCATGAGTCATGTGATCATACATGGAGGGCAAGCCACTGAAGCCAGCTGTTCGTCAGGGTTGCTCAAGCATACGTGGTAGAGTGTTGGGCTTATAGGGGCTGGGGGTAACTGCAGGGTGTGTAGACAAGTCAAAGGGTTAAAGTTTGGAGTGATTGAACATGATATTGTGTCTGAGGTAACAAGACAGTTTATACCCCAGTCCATTCAGTCACACTGGTGCCCAGACTGAGCTGTTGAGAGAAACCTGCTGTTAAAATGCCATCGGAGATTAAGGGTTTAAATCAGAGGTGAGAATGTATATATGTATACATTAAAACAACACTGCAGCATTAAAAAGTCTCCAATCAGCCTTCACAGACCAGAATAATCGTAAAACTGAACAGAATTTGTTAAAATCATTATAGAACAATGCTGTGCCCTGAATATGCCACGCTGCCTTTTTTATCTTAGCTCTGACTCAACTAAACAGAGGAACCTGAGCTACTCTGTTAGTCGAGTTCCATAACAGTAGATCCCCTTTTACAACAGCATCATATTCTCTTTTACAAGGTTTGACAGAACCTGCCACCCTCAAGTATAGAATACAGTAGTGAATGCCAGTTTAAGCTCTGTGATTCAAATTCCCTGTAAGGGAACATAATCATGAGCAGCTAGCGCTCTGGGCTTTTGAGGTCACGAGTTTTCGCAAAGCCACACACATTCACGCATCCACACACACGCACACTTGCAAGCACTCATGAGAAAAGAGAAAATATAACAGTGGACTGCGGTCCAATTAAAATGGGCTCAAGAAAGATCTACACTCCTCAGCGTTTGATTCTCGGCTCAGCAGCCCCACTCTGAGGAAAAAGGGAGGACGCTGATACCGAGTGTCGTTGAAAAGAGGGTGTGAGAGAAATGAAGATGAAGGAGTGAGGCAAGAGAGAAAGAGAAAACTGAAAATGCAGGGATGAGGGGGGATAGCAGATGATTGAAATAGATTTTTCATGCAGAGCAGCAGAGGAGGAAAAAAACAGAGGGACCAAATGCTGACCAGGGGGAATTCTAATGCCTGGCTTCTTTGTGGATTCATATGGAAAAGAGGGGGGCAGAAAAAAGATGTCTCCATAAAAATCCTGCTTAGCAAGACAGACAGATGCTGTTATCAAATTGGGAATATATGTATGTGCAGTATGAGTGTAGGACTTATTTATGTTCATGATTAGCATTTCACTACCAGGTGATGGACCTCCGGCAACCCCCTGTTGTGTACCCATCTGCACATTGCACGTGAGCACACTGTACGGTGCACACTCACACAAAATCATGCACATACTGGTAGAGGTGAATTAAGCTTTGAATATATGTAGAGAGGATATACACTTTGTTCTCTAAAAG